TTTTCGGAGGAAAAACAGTCAATTTCAGCCAATGGACCCAGCAAAAGACAACAACAGAACACCTCCGGCTTCGAAGAGAAGATTGGGCGAGGCATAACTACCTAAAACAAGCAGGATAGCGAGCATGAAGTATCGAATTGAGGCACATGACCACCAGAAAAAAAAGCATAGCTAGAGCATAGGTCAGGGCATATTTGCAAAAAAAACGCANGAAGAGCATTCACAGGTCTAATAGTGTATTGCAAGCTAACGGCCGCTCTTGCCGTTTGCCCATTTTTTCGGAGGAAAAACAGTCAATTTCAGCCAATGGACCCAGCAAAAGACAACAACAGAACACCTCCGGCTTCGAAGAGAAGATTGGGCGAGGCATAACTACCTAAAACAAGCAGGATAGCGAGCATGAAGTATCGAATTGAGGCGAATGACCACCAGAAAAAAAAAAGCATAGCTAGAGCATAGGTCAGGGCATATTTGCAAAAAAAACGCATAACCGTGGGCATATTTGACTTGTTTCAGCATATGCTTCGCCAAAAAAAGAAGCATAAAATAAGAAAAAAAAAAGCATAATGGGCCTAAGCCTAGTCGTGGACCTATGCAGTAGACATGCCTTCGAAAAATCGAAACAAAAAACTGAGAACGCGGAGAAGACCGAGGAGGGACATAAGGTGGACGTTGTAGGTGAGACAATATCGAAGATACGAGCCAAGCAAGACATAATTCTGCACTACTGGTAGTGGATTTGATTGATCTTTTATTGCTTGGCAATGCGATACTCGTAAAAAGATAACAGACCCTTCGAACCCTTCCTTGTGGTTTTGGTTTCGCCCACAGCCGAAACGGTACGCCGTGTTGCGAGCAAACTCGGTATTAGATTATGAAGTTCTCCACTCCACCACTCCACCACATCCCACATCCCACTCACCCCACACGCTCCCGCACACCGCCCTCCCTATCGTTGAACAACCGCCGCAGCTGGTGGCCCATTCTCCCATATTGCTGGCGATCCTTTGTCTGGCCGCCATCTAGACGCGGAAAAGCTTGGGGTTATCAACCGTGAGCCGAGATACGTACGTGTTGTACGCAGAACGAACATACATGCTCGCGCATGCAAGGCATCACTCAATACTGCTGGCGTGCTTGCGAGAAAACAGCCAAGGTTTAGAACTGAAGCTGTAGCTAACTGTAATTCGACAACGACCAGCTGCCGTGCAACGACCTGGGGTCTCATTCTTATATTTCACCTCTCACTCGTGAGAAGGTGTGCTTTTGGGAGTTGTGACGCATTATTGACGCACACACTGCTGAAGAGCCCAGCATCTGCGTACAAGTAGACTACTGCGTACTGCACCGTGTTGCACGAAACGAACAGGCAGGTGGGTGATATGTTGTTGTTGTTGTTTCTCACATTAGCTCTATAGTCCACAAAAAATGGGGAGCCCGTGGTCTCAAAACCCGGCACATACGACGCCGCGAGAAAACAAAAAACAAAAATAGGATACAAACCACTCGGAAAAAGAAAACAAAATGATCGAAAGAAAGAAAAGA